TTAGAAAAAATTTATTAATTCCGGCCTATTCCGACCCAAATTCGGGCCGATTTGCTGAATTTTGGTGGACCCTCTAACGCTAATCTACTCAAAGTTTGGGTATCATGTATTAGAATTAGTACTCACATAAGAAGTGATCTGGTCCAAAAATCGATACTGAATAGAAATCCTATAGAACCATCATGTGATTTATGTACGGAATCCTGACCGATCCTGGCACTCTAAGGATCAGTCAAAAGGACTTACCACTACGTACAGTATTTTATTTTTTATTTTTTCTTATTTTGGAGCGTCCAATTACATATTGACCTACATATTGCATAAATCGTATTCTTGATATTTTTTATAAACCACTAACTTTAAATGCATCAAAAAAATAACCCCTACCGGACACGGCTTTAGCAATGCTTGTAGTTATATAACGATAAATAATACACTTGATGTATAAATTAATATAAAACATGCACGATGATATATTCTTTAAGTTTATTGATATTTTGGCTAAGTTATTTTTTCTTATTCGTATTCGTATTGAAAGGATATTCGATGCAGTACAGTACGGTTAACCCGGAAAAAATTATTTAATCAATTTATGGTAATGGACGTATATGTATTATTATACAGAAAAAGAAAAGATGTAATTAAATATGGTTTTGATTTAACAAATGCATAGTATAAAACTCAGACTAGTATTGATATTTCTTGAAAATATATCATAAGCAAAGGGTTTTATTATACGCATTTAATAATTATGTTGACTAGGTTAAGCTAAGCTTGGTCTTGGCCTAATTTTAAAGTAAGGATCAGCCTAGTTCGTTCTTCTGGCTTGTTTTTTTTTTTTACTTGTGCTTGAATTTGTGAATGTTTGTGGTCTGAGAGTATGGGCCCTAGTCAAGCATGCCCGACCTAATTACCGTTTCCTATGCGGATGTTAATTTAATATCCAATAATAATTCAGGATTGCGACCAATTACGCATAACTTATAAAGACAGCCTTTTTACTAAATTAATCATTCGATGTTTTCAAAGGTATGTTAGAATACGTTGAGATGGGACCGGCAACACTCGTTCCTCTAGCTTCTTTATATCGGAATTCTCGTTCATCATCACCAAAATTGATCTCAACTTTACATTCACCATCTGCCCCAACAGTTGGAAACCAGATATGTTTCAATCCAGTAAATGCATTGCCTTGAGATTTGCCATTTTTGGTAAAGAAAACAGTACCAGTGTTAGGATAGTAGCCACATCCTAAAAAATGATATATATCAATATAAGGTATGTGTGTGATTAAGTGACTTCTGAAATTTTGAAAATTATTCAAATATCAATTGTTTTGTTTACCTATGGTGTCTCCAACTTCACCCCATGTTTCGGCATAACTTCGACCTCCAAGACCATCATTGTGAAATTTGTTTCCGTCATCAGAATGATAACCTACCGAATGATTATTCCATCCAGGCAATCTATTAAAGTGATATTATTTTTAAAATCTTTGATTAATTGTATTGAAGATAACTGTGATATTACCTGAAATTTGGATATGGTTTTGTTGTAAGTCCAACTGCAATTGTAGTATCCTTTATGTTGGGATTCGATAATATAGTTACTTCAAAGTAAAAGAACCAAGGTTCTGCAGTTTGTCCCAAACTTAATTGATGTCCATCACTTAACAAAGAATTTTCACGATATTTCTGTTCTGACTGACTACTAATTATTAATTCAGTCACAGAAGTTATCGAGATAGGACTTGGTTGAACTGAGCAATTATCGTCAAACTGTGGGAGAAAATGTGGATAATTTGTTTGTACCATGATGTCATTTTTTCCGTGGAACGATATAACGCGTCCTTTATTTGACACATTTACAATATTAGGTGGAACTACACGTTCTTTAGGTATCATCATTTCCCAGGCTTTTGGACCGGTCGACAAAATATATTCAACATGTTCTTGTGGCGGCAATATTTCGTGAGGTGGATTTTCTCGCGTAAATTGCTTGCCAGCTTTGTATGCTTTGTATGTGGCTTCATGCCGTAATCCATGTAAATATGAATTTTCTGGAGCAGGAGATATGCTTGCGTAAGCTGGTGGAGGTGCGATTATAACAGAAGCTGTTCCGGGCAACGGAGGATATTGCATCTCAGTTCGAGTTCGAACATTATCTCCCGTAGATTTAGTAATTTCACTTTCAAGATTCATAGATTCGCGAAATTTCTCATTGTTTTTGTTATATTTTCTTATCATAATGCATTTCCAGATTCCAAATAAAATTATTGCCAGTATTATAAATACAATTATAGAAAAAGTTAATACGCAATAGTTTCCGCATGTTCGATCACCATAGTACCAAAAACCCCAGGTTGATCGTGAATGACCAGAGCCACTATTAGAACTATGATATTCGCTGTAACCTACATTTTTTTTTTTTAAGTCAATTAAGCTGAATTGAATATAAGAAAAAAATCAGCAAAAAAAGAAAGCAACTTACTGCTTCCAGAGCTTTCGTTTCCACCTCCACCACCTTTAGAAAATACTAAAAGTGGCCGTAAAAATAAAAGCAGAAATACTAATCGAATGGTTGACAATTTAAGCCAATATAATGAAATAGCAAAATACATTTTGATATTCCAAGAATAATGAATTTCTTGATAATGAAGATAAACGAATTTAAAAAAATATATTTTTTTCGATTCCGAATTATCAATGATTTTTTTTTTTTTTTTTAATATTAATGATGAGACCATTTGGTTTTATATCATCAAAATTTCATAAAACTATATATGATTTAAATATTTAATCGGTTATTTAAGAATGGATTAGTTTTGCCACCACTGATGTCAACCATTTAATATTGCATTGAAGAATAATCAGCTTCTAGAATGTTATTGTAGTCCATAATCAGCTTCTAGAATGTTATTATAGTCCATTGTTGAGCACTAAATTCCGGGCATTACCACCTTACTATGTATAACATGTATAAACACGATTATTTCTGCGGGTTTGCGGAATTTGACTTTTTATTTCGGGTTCTATAAGCCGAAATTAAAATTTGAAGTTTTGCCCTATTTTTACTTAAAAGACGAAATTTTTTGATACTTTTTTTTGAATAGACGAAATTATAAGGTACATAAATACATAAATTAGATTTGCTTTGTCATATAAAAAATCTTAATTTCTCTAATGGAGACGAAATAGGCTTTTTTCAAAAACCAATTCCGGTGGCATCTATAATCTAGATATCCCAAATTATACCGGACAGTCTAAAATATCCACTTTTATTTTATTATTAAAAAAGCGCCAAATTTAAGATACGTATGTATCAACTTTTTACTACGTAAAAAGCGTCAAATTTAGAAATTTATAGTTAATTTTGATTGGTTCAACTAATGTAACACAAAAATATACATATAAAAGAAAATCCTCTTAATAGAAATATATAGTTTTAATTACAAACTATATATATTAATTTGTAAGAGGGTTTTTGTATTTAATAATTTTTTGCCAAATTATACTATTTTTAAAAAATAGGATATCTTAGACTGTCCGGTACTGTATATTTCTGAATTTGACCCGGTATATTGTTATCAATATCGATATAAATGTTATAGCAATTGGGTCTCAAATATATCGAAGCAATAGCAAATCAGCCGAATATTAGGGCGACTTTTTACACTACCTTAAATATATGACGTATTTATGATAGATATTTATCGTGAGGCAAATCATTTGACTATAAGTATATTTATAAGAAGAGATGAATTTTCATGTAAAAGAGATGAATTTTAAAAGTAAAAAGGGATGGGTTTTAAGGTGAGAAGATGGGTTTGACGTGATAATTATATTAGTTTTATTGTTTTGGGGTTCAGTTTAAAAAATGCGTCATATGGTTGACGTATATATCATAGTAATTCGGCGCCCGAATGATTTACACAGCTTCTCTTGATTGTCTAAATCTCGGCTACCATGTAATAAGGTAAGCCGAATTAAGGCTTTTGTTCTATGTCCACGGGAATTTGGCTTGGGTCTGCGGTACTGCTAAATAATAAGAAAAAAAAAAAATAATAATATACGGGGTTATTGGGATCATATCTGTCAATTTACAAACATAGTGCAGGTCATATGAGTGCTGTCAAGGCAAAACCTGTAGCAAATTTTGAGGTATCAATAAGGTGAGTTTAATCCTGGGAAAATTGATATTACGTATTAAATCATTGTATACAATCAGTGTTCTGGTTGTTTCTATATCATGTGCACTTGTCATCATTTAACAAAACTTAGATCCTAAGTCTTGTTAAATGACTAATACGTAATATCACAATTTTCTGTCAAACTCGCCTTATTGATACCCCAAAATTTGCTTACAGATTTTGCCTTGGCAGCACTCATATAGTAAATTCTCAATACATTTTTTTTTATAGATCAACGAGTGATAGTAAATATATAATAAAATTCAAGCTGCAATAACTCTTGAACTAGCAAACTCACACAAATAAAATTATACTTGTCGGGTTGTTTTAACATACTTTTAAAGTAATAACGCTCTTTTTGTTGTTTTCTTATCAAATATCCGATATTTTTTATCTTAACATGTTAAAAACTGAAACAGCTATAATAAAGTTGTGTTACACGACATGCAACGGCGCAAACAGAAATTTCAATATTACGTTTTTGATGTTTGCATCAAAACCGAGTATTTTTGCATAGAAATCGAGAGTCTTCCGCCACACTCTAGATAATAAAATAAAAAAACTGCGTTATTACTTTAAAGAACATATTAAAACGAACTTGACGAATGTAATTTTATTTATGTGGTTTTCTGGTAAAGAGTTATTACAGTTTGAATTTTATATGCTTTTACTCTAATATTTGTCGATCTATAAAAAAAAAGTATGAGAATTTACTATATGACCTGTAAATTGGACCGATATGATACATCCCAATCATTGGTGTGGTCTGTCAACTATATGTGGTCACTAATATCGGAATTTTTTCATTAGCGTTAGTGAATATATTTATATACAAAATAATTGAGAACTTTTTTTTAGATGCACAGGTTGAAATTTTCTTTTTTTGTAGAAAATTTTGATGCCAATTGACTCTTTCCTATCCCAGTAACAAAGTTACAATGCCGTTTTTTACATTATATATGGAGAACGAATTTTTTTCTAACTTACTTTATGTGTATTTGTTGTTTGACGAAATTTAAGCTTCCGGCAAAAATTTTTTTAAACAAATATAAAATTTGGCTCTGTAACTTGCATTGAGAGATCTTCTATCGATCCATTCAAAGCTTGGAATTCTGATAGTGTAATAGTAAAAACATATAAAATTCAAACCGATTTTTAACAGCTGCCCTACCTTGTTTAGTGCGTCGAAAGTACATCGATGGTGCGTTTTCCTGCGTTGTGAATACAAAGTAAAATTTTCCAATTATATAATTATAATTTGAAATTTTACTTTGTATTCGCAACGCAGGAAGAAGCTCTCCTTATACGAACCTGGTTTACACTCGACGTACCATCGATGTACTTTCGACGCACTAAACAAGATAGGGCAGCTGTTAAAAATTGAAGAAGACTACTGCTTCTTGAACCAGTAAGTCCACACAAATAAAATTACATTTATCAGGTTCACTTTAGCATGCTCTTTAAAGTAACAACGTCTTTTTTTTAAATTTAATTTTATTGTTTAGAGCATAGCGAGTGTCTCAATTTTCATACAAAACTATCATCTTTGATATTATTTGAATAAAAAAATCAAAAACATTAAATTTTTCGTTGAACAATACGATAGACAAAAATTCAAAACTTACGTTTTTGATGTTTTTATTAAAAAACATCAAAGAAGACAATTTTGCATGAAAATTGAGACACCCGCTATACTCTAAACAATAAAAAATAAATAAATAAAGCGTTATTACTTTAAAGAGCATGCTAAAATTAGGGATGGGAAATGGTCCTAAAAGACCAGGTCCCAAAACTGTTTATTTAAGGACTTGATCAGCAGTCCGGTTTTAGTTCAAAATTGTAGTTCGAAACAAAGTTTCAAAAGACCGTTTCAAAGAACCTAAGGCCTGAACAGTTAATTGTTTATCAGTTTCACAATACGGTTTTTGTTCAAAGTCCCAGGCTTGATCATATGCATAAGCTAAAAATATTTTTTTGTATTGTCTCAGTAGGATACACGTGACTTTTAAAACTAAATACAATACAAAAAAATATTTTCAAGACTTGAAGAACGGAAAGAACAAATAAATTAATAAAATACAAGAAATTAAAAAAAACAAAAGCACGAGCAATAAAAAGAAAAAGAACAAAAGCAAGTATTAATTAATAAAAATACATTTTTTTTTATTTAAAGGCATGTCTTGGTCAATTTTCATGTCAATTTTTCGCCATCATGGACAACATTAATAATATTAAAGTTATTGATCTTTCATATGATGAAATATGTGAATCTTTACAAAATGAAATATACACCCTTTACAAAATGAAATATGCGATCCTTTACAAGGTGAAACATATGATTCTTCACAAATAGTGAAACAATAAATGATCCTTTACCTGATTCTAATGAAATAAATGATCCTTTACCTGATTCTAATGAAATAAATGATCCTTCGCCTGATCCTAATATGTCTGTGGAATTGTATTTATTTAAATCTAATGAATCATCAAATAAAAAATGTAAACTTTCTAATCCGCTACATGATTATCTTGTACCAAGTACTAGTGGTTACATCATTTGCTGTACATTATGTGAAGTGAGCTGGAAAAAATCAACTGGAATCAGTACAATTAAAAGACATTTTAAAAAAATTTCATAAGGATATTTATGACCAATTGCAGGAGGAAATTCAGAGAGATAAAACTGTTGAGCCATATGGTCCAAATGATGAAGTAAAAGTTAAATGCATTACTTATTTACTTATTAAGTAGATTATTTGTAACCAACAACCTTTTATAGTTGTCAAGAACCTTAGCTTTTGTGAGCTTATAAATGAACTTGACAAACGATATAGATTATCATGCCGAAAAACTATATCTAACCAAGTTGATGCCATCTATCAAACACAACAATTAAATGTTAAAAAAATTTTAAGCGCAATGACAAGAAAAATGTCAATGACAACAGATATATGGACAGTTTGTGATGGTGGTAGTTACTTGTCAATCACACTTCATTGGATTGATAATGATTAGAATATGCAAAAATTACTTCTCGACCTTATTCCTCTTAAAGAAAGTCATACTGGGTTAAATATTTCAAATGCGGTATTAAAAACTATTAGCTTTTACGAAATCGGAAAAAAAATCATTGCCATAACAACTGATAACGGGTCCAACATGATTACCTTTGCCACTCATTTATAACAAAACCTTAAAGAACAATTTAACAATACAGAATTTCAGCATTATCGCTGTGCTGCTCATACCTTAAATTTAATTGTAATAGAGGGGTTAAAATTTGTTGATGAGTCTATTGTAAAGGCAAGACAATTTGCATCAACTGTCCGTCACTCGCAACCCTTCACTAGAGAATTAAGACAAATATTTCAAATGAAAAACAAACCATTTCTCGTGCCTGATTTAGATGTCCAAACAAGATGGAATAGTACATTCCTGATGATCGAAAAGCTAAAAACAATTCGAGAATTTACTGATATTCTTGTTGCGTCAAATAGTTCTTTACAATCCATTTACCCAACTGATTCAGAATGGTTAGAAATTGAAGTAAGTTGCTTTTTTTTTTTTATAATTTTTTATCTATTTACTCATATACTTTTTTTTTTTTTTAATAGGCAATTCATACGCTTTTAGAACCTATTTATGAGGCAACTAAAGTTCTCTCGTTATCGAGTTATCCAACTTTAGGTGATCTTCATTTAGTGTTCACTACAATCAATAAGTTTCTTGAAGATATGATTAATGGCTCAATAGAAGATACTATGCCAAAACTTGTTGCAACAGCTATGGCAATTAAACTTGATGAGTATTGGCAACAATTCGACAAATCATCATTTATTATTGCTCCACTAGATCCCAATATAAAGCTTTCATTATATGATTTATCAAAGAAAAATGAAGCGTAACAACAGCACGAAAAAATATATTCACACTATATTACCCCTCATAGTGATAATTCAATACCTCAAACAACTACTTCATCAAAATCACGTGATTACTTCAAAAAACTTCTTAAGCGTTCATCTAATTCTTCTGATACAACAAAGGATTTACAAAATTACCTTACATCTCCTGAAGTTGATTGTGAAGTATTACCGTGGTGGAAAGCTCATGCAAATAATGCAAATTATCAAAATATTGCAAAAGTAGCCCAAGACTACCTGTGTATTCAAGCGACTAGTGTGCCAAGTGAGCAGGTATTCTCAGTTGCAAAACACACTATAAATCCATTGCGTAATCATTTAGATCCAGAAAAGGCACGAGCGACTCTGCCTTAAAAGTTGGCATGAGTCAGGCATGATTAAAAAATTAGAATCGTCGAATACGATGTATTAGTTTTAAATTTTTTACTATATTATATAGTTTATTATTATCATTTTTTTTGATACTGTAATAAAATTGAAAATTATCTAAAAAAGTTGTCAAACCGGTTTTTAAAATAGGTCGTAATTAATACGACATTATGTATGCATCTATATAAAATATACCAAATATTGCTTAGCGTTAGAGTTATCATTATAACAAAAAAAAAATTAAAGTTTTGAGACTAAGTTCAAAACTCAGTTTGAAACTCGCATGTGACTCTCATATGATATTATTTGGAGCCTCCATGTGACTTTCACATGATATGATTCGAACTCGGTCTTTGAACTGTTCCGAACCTGGATTTCTATAAAACAGGACCGAACAGAACCAAACAGGACTTTTACCATTCCTACTGTAAGTAGCAAGTACAAGTACCCAATAGGAGGAACCGTTGATGTTATACAACTGATTTTCATTAGGTATGAAACACATAAAAAAATCATTTTACAATACTTGATCAGTCCGCTACAATAGTATCAGTACATGTTATGATTATAATCCAACACCATTTTTACTATATAAAAATGGTGTTGGATTATAATCAGGGCTTAAAATCCTATAGTAATTTGCTGGCCATTCAAAAGTATCATTCTTGATATATAGTATATTAGGAATTAATTGGCTGATATAGTAAACAATAAGATGTACAATACACTAATTTCGATAAATCAAGAAAAACACTTCAAACAATAGGCTGCAGGCTGGCAAATTACTATAGGATTTTAAGCCCTGATTATAATCATAATATGTACTAGCGGACTGATCAAGTATTATCAAATAATTTTTTTATGTGTTTCACACCATGTGTAAAATCAGTTGTATAATATCGGTGGTTTCTACCCTAGCCATGTGGAAAATGGGACCATCTACGGACACGTACCAATTGCACGTACTGAACTTTAGAGTTAGTATATTAGCACGTGATAGATTTTAGATTTATAATTGGTACATACACAATCACGTGAATTGGTACATGTCCATAGACGTTCCGGCAGAAAACAAAATATCAGATCATGTAATTTTTGATGCTCTGAATGATCATCTACCAATCAAAATTCAGGATCTGGTATAATGTGTAATTTTACGAAAACAACAAAGTTTTTTCAAAAATTGCAGATAATTTATCCATTATTAGTAGACAGTTTTTATTTAACAAACATAATTTAAAGATTTTGATCAGTTAAAATCTGTGTATAAACTACTTGTTAAGAATAATAATAAAATTATTCTTTATAAACTAGATGCAGAAATTAAATATCTAGCTTTTACAACACTATTTTTTTTTTTTTTAAATTGCTGTAGTGCTATAACTTTTTAATATAAGTAATTACATTAATGTTATAGTATATAAGTCATACTACATTATTACTAATAACATCTACCCTAACAATTTAGTTGTAACTTTTCTCTATTTTTGAAACTGATTAATACTTTATATTATCTACCAATTCTGAGAAAGAGTACAACCCTCCTATTCTATACAAGATCTTTTATATTCCTAAATTATACTAATGATCATCTTCCATTTCCTGTAACAGCCTTCTAATTCTCTCAATTTGGTGTCTGCCGAAGGTTTTTCACTTCTGGTGCTCCCAAATTGGTGTACATAGCCTTCCATATATTGGTACTGATTGGCACAGACAGATTTATCAAAATATCCAGTACACCACATACTTAACATTTTTATATTAATAATCTTAACCTTAAATCCTAATGCTAGTACTAAAAAACTCAAAGAATATCTTTTAAAAAATGTTAAATCTTTTTTTAAAAATAAAAATTTTATTTTATTTTAATTTGTTACAATTATTATATTTTATAAAAGTTAATTAAAATTAGATATAATTTTAAATAATATTAATTTTAAATTTTAAGAAATATAATAAATAATTATAAATTATATTTATATAATTCTAATTTAGTTATCTATACTATATAAATATTTATTTTATTTATTATTAATTAAATTATATAAATATAAATTAGAATAAATCTAATTGTAGCATCTTGTTACATACCTTATTTGCAATACTTAACTTAATATAGTCAGTTTTTATGAATAACAGATATTATAAATAGAAAAAATATATGTATTACACTACATAATACAATTATATACCACATTTATAAGGACAGGTTTAACGTGAGATCAAAAAAACAATAAAAAGAATAGTTTGTTTTGTTTTAATTAGAGTTAGAGCAAATTTAGTTTTGGTATAATTTATATTAAAATTTTGCAAGAAATTTTTTTTGTTAAAACATAAAAGGCTGTTTTCTATGTGAAATTTTAAGATATTGGTAATTTTTTAAAAAATACTATTTTTTATATTTTTATATTATATCTGTTCTTGAAATTTAATTGGTTGAGCGACAAATAAGAGTATCACACTGTGCAATATATAGATAAATCCTTATAAATATATTTTTTCTATAAATTATACTATTTTAATTAATATATTATAGCATATGGGGACCGGTCAATTAAAAAGGGGGCTTATAGCATTTTTTGCAAAAATGAGTTAGCTATACTATCGTATAAAGCAGGTATTCTTCTATATAATTTGATATTTAAAATATCAATTTACATAATAAAATTTTTCTTGGTGCCCACTTTTTTAAATGTCTATATACAATTAGATGTGATCTAAAATTAGAATTTAGAAATCTAGTTGTCGATCCTTGCTGCAGGGTTATAGAGAAGTATTCATGTGATTGGCTAATTTATGTTGATCTAACAGGTTATACTAATAATAGATTGTTATTGTTATTGTTACACCAAATTTGAAACGTGATTTTCTTAAAATCGAAAAAATGCCATAAGCCACCTTTTAATTAACCTATCCCCATATAGTATAGAACTTATAGTGTACTATTATCTATATATAAACTACTTAAATAGGTAACCAAAAATTGCACATGTAGCTATATGTACTCTCATTAACCAAAAATATATTACTTAATAATATCTAATAAAATTTACCTTCACGTGACATTATGAAGGTTAAAAAAAAATTAATATATTTATTTAATTATTTTTATATTTTATATATCTAATAAAAGTAATAATCTAAAGAGTCTAATCTTGATTATAAAAAAAATTTTTAATATTAAAAATTATTTCTTATAAATTTAAAAAGTTTTTAATAAAATAACTTTTAAACTTCTAATTAAAGTTGTAGAATTAATTTTTTAGTCTAATAATATTTAGATTATTAATATTAATTTAATAAATTTTAAAATATAATATTTTATTTATTATTTTTATATTAAAAATTAATTTTTTAAATTTAAAAAAATTAATAAAATAACTTTTTTTAGGCTTTTAATTGAAGTTGTAAAGCTAATTTTTCTGGTTTTAATGATGTTTAAATTATCAAAATTAGTCTAGTAGATTCTTTGATATTTGAAATTAAAAATATAAATATAGATTACCAATTTGTAAATCTTTATATTCATATCTCTAAACCCAAATATTTTGGCATTTATTAAGCTAATTTTAATAATCTAACTATTATTAAAACTAAAAAAATATTCTCTAAAACTTTACTTAGAAGTCCAAAAAAGATTATCTTATCAAAAACTTTTATAATTTTTAAAAAAATATATACATTATATATAATTAAAAATTTAAAGATATTTTTAATAAAATAATCTTTTTTGAATCAGTAAATTCCAAAATATTTAAAATTAAAGATTTGAATATAGAATTATAAACTATAATATTTTATATAATTATTAATTTGTAGATCGTTATATTTGCATTTTTAAATCTAAATATCTTAGAATTTATCAAGCTAATTTTAATAATCTAACTATCATTAAAACCAAAAAAATTTTCTCTACAACTTTACTTAGAAGCTTAAAAAGATTATTTTATTAAAAACTTGAATTTTTTTTTAAACCATCGCAATGTCGTAGATGGGTGAATTTTTATTAAGTATTTTAGTATTATATTCTTGGTTAACAAGAGTACATATAGCTATATGAACAACTTTTGTCATCTAATTTAATTAGTCCGCCTGAAGGTTCTACACTAGGAGATTACCCATTTAAACCTCTGATATCCCCTGTCCTGTAACACAACCCCAATCACACCAGCTCATAACCTCGTGCTGCTTCATTAAAGACCACTCAGATTGACATCTGCTATACTACTTGCACTCTAATTCTATAGATAACCCAGTAGAATTTACATACCAGATTACTCTAGAAAAGGTGTAGTATATACCTTCTTAATCTTTCTATGTTCTATACATTTTCAGACTAGGCTTTTCAGTAACTTATGCTGAGTCCGAAAACAAGTAGTTGCGAGCCAAAGCTGCTATCGTTACTTACTACTGCTCTTGCAAAGTTCACCCAGATTTCAATACATACTTAACAATCTATACTTCTGGTTTCCCAAACTAAGCCCTACTTCTGGTTCTCCAAACTTCCAATTCAGATAGCCTGAAAAGGCTATGACCTGCCTCTGGTACCCACAGTTGGGTCCTTTTTCTTTGGTCTCATCCGGCAGCCTGGTTGGTGGAGTGCCTTGCCAAGC